CTGCCCCCGCCCTTGCGCGGGGGCCGGCAGCGCGACCCGGCGGCCGCGCGGTGCGCTCCCGTCGTCCGGGAGGCTGGCCTTGGACGAGCTCCGCGAAGCGCCGCCGGCCCCGGAAGTCGCAGGGCTGGGACACCCAGGCAGGGCAAGGAGCTGGGACACAGCGGCCACAGCTCTGGGGTCTGTCGCCCAAGGCGGGCGGGGTGGTACCTGCAGCTCCTGCCCGCGGTCTCTCCGCTCACGGGCCCAACTTCGGCGGGCGGAAAGCGCGCTCGCTCGCCCCCTTGCATGGGGCACCCGGCGGGGTGGCAGGGAGTCGCTGCTGCTCGAGTGCCCGAGTGCCCGGGTCGACCAAGAGTCCAGCCGCTTTCGGGGCTGCCAGTGGGAGCAACCTGGGCCTGGCTGGCCTGGAATTTCCCCCAGCCCTGGGGCTTCATCAACCCGGGCTGCAGAAGGCGACAGCAAAGCGTGTGGCCCAACGTTCAGCGCTGCTCTGTGGAGTCGGTGCCTCCGGGGCACTGACCCTCACAGGTGCATACAGCCCCCCAGCCCAGAGCCCGGAAAGAATACAATTAATTAGTTGGATTTTTTTTTTTAATACACAAACTATGAGTTGACTTAAAAAAATGGGGATGGGGGTGGAGGAAGATCTTTGCAGCTAATTGTTTTTATTTATTTATTCAATTTTATTTGTTACTATTCTCTCTTAATTTGACCAGAAGGAGACAGAGAGAGAGGGAAAATGAGAAAGCAAGCTGCCAGGTCTGGGACTCGAACTGCCGGAGTCCAGCACCTCAACCTCTAGCACCTCAACCACCATGCCACCTGCCATTGGTGGCTAATTGTTTTAAGAGTGGAGGCCAGGGACCAGCAGATAGCACAATGGTTACCTTGCTGGACTCCCACTTAGTTAGAGTGGTTCAAGTGCCAGACCCGGCGGCTTAAAACTCACGCTGGGCACTTGTGCGTGCGTGCCCAAGATCCGGAGAGGAGAATGGAAGAGAAGGGATTGTGGCGTGACCATTCCCTAGGGGGTGATTTCTTGCTTCTTGTCTCTCTCTGTCTCTGTCTGTTGGTGAGTCTATGCATCCTATAGCAAAAATCTCTCTCTCCAAAATAAATAAATGAATAAATAAATAGAGTTGAAGCCCGTGTCCTGGGGGGTCCCTTGTTCCCTCCCAGGGAACCAAAGATGCGTCTATACCTCTCATCTGTGGAAATGCTCCATGAACCCCAGGGATGCATTTCAGGCCCCTCCTGAAATGCAGAAGTGGCTTCTCTCTCACAGGCCAGTTCCTCAGGTCTCTGCAACAATAACTGAGGCGTGAACCCCCTACGACAGAGGTGGTTTAATCGTCAGATAGGATCAGCTCCTTCACTCCATCTCTTTCTGCGAGTAATCCCAAGTGACAGACCATAGGGAGGGCCATCTCTTTGTTTTCCTAAGGCTCATTCTGTCCGTTTGGGAGCTTCAGTGTCCACCTCTGTCTTCTCTCTCCCTTCTCATCATGGTAGAGCTGGGTGCCCTGGATAGTGGGGTGAGCTTTCAATTTGGGAACTCCTCCTCTGACCACCTGCTCTCTGATGGGGACAGGGACTTGGGCTATTACAGTGGAGATGCAGAGCTGAGGCCAGGGAGAAGGGATAGCAGTTCCCTGAATGGGCCAGGGCTGCTCACTAGCACTGGTCAATCCCAGAGTGACATTTTTCTTCCTCAGCTGCTTCTGCTAATTCCTGGGCTCCTTTTACCCCCAGCTGGGCCCATGGCTCCTGCTGAGGTCTCCTGAAAACAACTGGGCATATATCCTAGTCAGGAGTCCTGGTAGGATGCTGAGCCCTGGGTGCCGGGACTCAGGGAGCTGCAGGCTCTATCAGCAGACCCTCTCTGCATGGAGAACAAGAGTGTTGTCACTAGAGAAGCTTCTGAAATTGAACTCTCATGCTTAGAGCTGATCTGGAAACCTAGCTGGTGGAACTTAGGTTATTTGGCCAGGACTTTCAAAAAAGAAAAGTCTGGAGGGAAAATTCGGTTCATGAAATCATTGCTTGATTGACGACGGGAGGCAAAGGGAGTTGGGGGCTTCCCAACTGGACTCCTTTGGGATAAGAAACTAAAACCTGCCTGCTCCCAAGTGGAAGGCTGCCACTTGACTGGTTCGAAGTCAGAAACGGAGGCCTCCTCACCTCACACCCAAAGACACCCTCGTGACCCACAGCGTCTGGCCTTGGGGGCCCCTTGCGGTGAGTCGGATGGGCTGACCCACAGCCACGCTGTGGTCCCCATGTGATCCTGGGAGCCTGAGATCAGAGTGAAACACTCGGCCGTAAACGTCGTCATGGCAGACGGCTCGTGGAATCACCCTGGAGGACGGGCCTTGCTCTGGGCCTGTCCGGACAAGCAAGCTGTACCTCTCCTCTCCTCGGAGCGCCACTCAGTGCGTGGGGGGAGGCAGACTGCTCTTCTCCCCATTTTACAGGTGAGTAAACAGCAGCGTGTGAATACTTGCCCCAGGCATCGACAGTGGAGAGGTGAGACTGTGTGGGGGTGAGTGGTGCCCAGGGCGTGGGGAAAAAAAGTCCTCTGTCCTATTGTGCCACTGTGTCCATGTCCCAGGGACTACACAGGGTGTTGCAAAGGGACCAGATGCTTGGCAGGTACAAAATGGTAGCAGTGTCCCCTCCTGGTCACCTTTCCTGAGGATCAAATCCCAAAACCCTGGCCTCAGACGTAGTGACCACAGGAGCTAGGGTAAAGGGGAGGGCCAGTGAGTTCTGGGTGTCCGGATATTTGGAGGTGACAAAGGCTTGGACTCTTCTGACCACAGTTCTGACCTGGATCCCAGCTGTGTGCTCTTGGGATGGGCATTCTCTTTTTTCTTTTCTTTTTTGTTTTTCTTTTTAGGTTTTTGCCATAGGGTGCATATGCCTGTCAAAGAGATAGAAAGTGAAAAATCAGGGACCAGCAGTTAGCATAATGGCTATGTCGCTGAACTCCCATGTAGTCGACTGCAGTTCGAGTCCCGGACCCGCGTGTGCGTGCGTGCCCAAGATCCCGAGAGGAGAATGGAGGAGAAGGGATTGTGGCGTGGCCATCCCCCTTGGGGTTGTTTCTCGCTTTCTGTCTCTCTGTCTCTCTCTGTCTTTCTGGTGAGTGCACACGCCCTATAGCAAAAACCTCTCCAAAAAAAAAAAAAGGCAGTTTTATTTTGGGGTCACCCCTGGAGCCATCCTTTGTGACTGGGTTCTTTGACATGCTAGATTAGTCTGAGTCTGCAACATCGCATACCGTGGACTTGCTCGATGAACATCCAGTAAAAAAGAAGGGTGTCTAAAGGCTAAGATATGAAGGGGGAGCCTTCCTCAGGCTCAACTTAATTCCATTCATGGTTATTTTTTTAGATCGAGTCTTGCTGGGTTGCCGTCTTCCTGCCTCAGCCTTCTAAGGAGCTGGGACTACAGGGTCACACCACCACGCTGGGCATTTTTGGGTAGGCCAGAAATCGAACCCAGGCCTTCCAAGTGGCCTCGGTCCATTGAATTTCTGCATCTTCAAGTGTTATCATCGTGGCTGGGCCAATCTAATTGTATTTTTATTTCATTTCATTTATGTATTCGAGAGACAGGTAGAAAGGTAGCACTCTTTTATTATTTATTTATTTATTTAAACTGTTTTGGGAGGGCTTTTTGCTATAGGGCACATGCATTCGCCAGAAAGACAGAGAGAGACAGAAAGACAGAAAGTGAGAAATCACCCCCCAGGGGGGATGGCCACACCGCAATCCCTTCTCCTCCATTCTCCTCTCAGGATCTTGGGCACACACGCACATGCGCCTGGCGTGAGTTTAAGCCACTGGGTTCAGGATTCGAACCGCGGATGACTACATGGTAGTCCAGCGACATAGCCATTACCCCACCTGCTGGTCCCTATTTTATTTATTTATTTTAAAAACTTGCTAGAGGGCACATGTGATCTCTGGAAAGAGACAGAGAGAGGAAAGTGAGAAAGCACCTTCCAGGGAGAATGGTCATGTTGCAATCCCTTCTCCTCCATTCTCCTCTCGGGATTTGGATCATTCATACCCATGTGTGTTTTTCCTGGGTCCAGGACTCGAACCACATAGCCATGTGGGATACACCCACCTAAATTACGATGCTACTAGTTGGTATTTAATTCTATTTGTTTTTAAAGAGAGTTTTGCTATAGGGCACCTGTGCTCGACAGAAAGAGACAGAAAATGAGAAATCACCCCCTCCATTAAGTGAGGATGGCCATACCACAATCCCTTTGTCCATACCACAATCCCTGCTCCTCCATTCTCCTCTCAGGATTCTGGGCACGCATACAAACGCTACCAGCGTCAACCGTGGTCGACTACGTGAGAGTCCACGATGTAACCATTATGCCATCTGCTGGTCCCTAATTCTATTTTTAAACCCATAAACATTTGTGAGCAATATTGATGTCCATAGCAGATGAAATTAATGATGGCCGTCCCCCCTGGGTGTGTGTGTGTGTGTGATTTCTCACTTTCCGTCTCCCATTTTGCTTCATTTTATCTCCAGTGTGGTACCTGAGCCCCACTGGGGGTATGCCAGGCCTTCTGAGGGTCCCTGCATCCTTGTGGCCACCCGCAGAGCTGCCCACCCCCACCCGGGCTCTCATTTCACACAGGGTCTGGAGGCAAGGCCGGCCTTGGGACCTAGTGCATGTCCTGAACCCTTTCCTGGAGAGCCAGGCTCCTTAGGGGCGGAAGGTTTGTTGACATCCAGAAGTCAGCATGGGCCGCCCCATTGTGAAGCTCCACGCCGGTGACCTAACCTGTTTCCTTAGCTCCAAAATCGGGGTGACAATCGCCCCTGAGGTGAGAGAAGATCGGCTTGACTACGAACACCTCGGCC